ACAGAGTAACTCCAAGGTTAACATCAGACCAGCAATCAAGTAAACAATACTCCAATCAAAAAACTGCCGAAGAAGCCAAGAAGCAAATAGCCCCCCCAAAAAATAAATCTCTAAGACCACTCCCACCAATACTGACAGGCAAGCCACTAGAATATAAACTGACAACAAACTGCATTCCTTAGTAGCACTAATGGTATTACCTAATTTGGGTAATATGCAAGAAAACAAGCAAGCTCAGAGGGCACCAAGGACCCCTCATTTCAACCCTGCACTTACAAATATTCTCCTTTATTAGTATCACCAGAAATTGGCAGCAATATTGTTTTTACGCTCCAGAAGCTGGAATATTATTGCTTCTCAATGTAGGAATGCAGTTTGGTGGTCTCTGTGGCTACAACCACAAACGCTATTCCCTCCTGCAACCAGGCACAGCTCCTAGGCTTGTTCCAAACACACATAAAAAAACTCCGCAGAATTCCATGTTTTGGACGATAGATACAACAAACCACAGCACAACCGGTTGTAGTTCATTAGCTACACTGAAATGCTGGAGCAGCTAGTGGGCCAGATTACAGCAACCAGCCGTGGCAAACTTTGATCCTGGCACTTAAAGTTCACACATAACCTAAATGGAAAGCTGGCCTACAGCGGAATGTTTTTCTGATCTACGATCTTTGGATCAGACCAAAGAAATTAATCCATATTCTATGGAAAGTTACTGAAGAGTTCAAAGTCAAATGCCTTGGCTCTGAACATGCGTCGTTTGTGTTTTATACTTTTTTGCTGGCATTAGCCAGGCAGTTTCTTTAAATGAACCATTTTTACTTATTTAAGAAGTGTACAACTCAATTTTCATTGTAATAATTTCAAAGCTGGAGTAGAAATAAATTAAAACAATGAAAGCATATGATGGTTAAATATTATGCAAGAAAGCAGGAACAGTAATTCATTCATAACTGTTACTGACACACCAACAAACATTCAAAATTTAGGTTAAAAAAAAATAAATCTTCAGTTGATACTAAAAACTGAGAAGTGGAACTCAATATTGAAGGACACTTGACTGTGCTACTGAAAATGAAGTGTTGTCAAAGGGGCATCACCATGTTATTGTCAGGGCACTTGCAAAAACAAGTTACCAATTTACAGTATATAAACAGTAGAGTAAGTTCGATTGATTTCATCACTCTATCCAGTGATTGAGTGACCTATGTAGGTCACTATCCAGTTTTTCTTGGACAATTTTGATTCCCTTCTAAACCTAGCATCAAAATAACGAACCCCTCAGAAAGGGGTATCCTGTAAATTAATAATATTCATTTATTATTGCTTCAGCTGCCTATTGCTCAGGGCCTGTTCCTTTTTCTAATGATCTAATAACCTCAGTAAAACATTAATTAAAAGATATCTGCTTTGCCTCTTGGAAAATATGGTTCCATCTGAGAAACTTCTTGTCATGGCTGAACTCCTGTCCAGACCTCCTTTGTTGTGGCCAGCCAGCAGCCAGCGGGTCTGGCGGCAGATTCGGACAGTGAGGAGGTTGGGGAGGAACATGGGCCAGTCCTGGAGTCTGAGGAAGGCTCTGATGAGTGCTCTGTGTCGGAGGCAGAGATGGGGCCAGGGCCACCTGACAGTTGTCAGCTGCCTTCGGAGTCGGACATCAGTGGGGCAGAAGAACAGATGGAGCCTGTTCCCATGCGCAGAGCTGCCAGGAAAAGGGAACAGCTAAGGAACAAGGGTCGACTCAGGAGTAAAGCTACAGTTGGATGGTGAATGGCCCCTCCCATAGGGAATAAAGAGGAGCGAAAGGGGAGGGGAGTTTGCAGGAGACAATTAGTTCGCTTAATTGGTTCATGACTCTCAGAGACTTCTTGCCAAGTTTTGAAGATATTGGCCTGGCAGCTCTCCAAGCCAGATAAGGTCTGTGACTGTAAATTTTCCCTTGAAAGACTGCTGGATGTGAATGAGAGGAATTCACAGTAACTTAATAAAAAGGTGTTTTTGTCAGGACAAGGAGTCTGCTTCATGCTCTTGGGAAGCCTAGTCAGAACATCCTTCAGCTATACTGACACACATAGAAAGTAGGTGAAGGGAATGAAAAAAAAATAGCAGAACATTAATTTGCTCAGGAGGACCAAATTCTAAGTTTACACATCTGAGCAGGAGCTATATAATTGCGTCATCCCTTCTTCAATGCTTCGTGTTTTACAGAGGCTATTCCACTTGGATGCATGAAAAATAGGATTAGGCAACAACTAAATTTCTCTTTTTCAGTACTCCTCCAACCCTCTCCTTGCCACCTATGAAGCAGAGTAAGAATTTCATATTATGATCAAGCTGCTAGAAAAGACAACTACTGTATTTAGAAATGAACAAAAATACCTTTAGAGACATACAGGGCTGCATAGCAATTTGAATTCAAAGGGAAGGCAGTTGTGGGAGGTCAGGAGCAGATGCAGCTGCTTTCAGATGATCCTGACAAGGGCTATGGGCACACCCACAGATGCTCTGAATCACAGTTTTGCAGTCTTCAAATCTGGTTCTTGGCACTATCTTATTATTTAGTTAGTTGATGTCGTTTATTAGTTTCTGTCTTTCAGACAAGTAACACCTATCCAAAGCTTTTTTTTTTCCTTGCAAAAATTACCACAAAGAATAAAACTTCTGCTCATCCATAATGTCCCTTTGAGACTTCCAACAACAGCACCAAACATAGCATTCCAAAAGCACATGAGAGTTTTCTCCCCAACTACATTTCTATAAGCATTTTATAATCTAATAATACGAGAGGAAAAATGACTCCAAAGTTGTGTATAGCTGACTGGAATTCAGACATCTGTTCTGATTAAAAAGCTTCCTGAGAGGGGTCCTCCATCCCACTATAAATATTTAGCTTTTAACTCAATTAAAACAATATAAGACAGGTTTTATTCTCTACAACCTGCAACTGGAATTGATGTGCTAGCTTTTTCTGGGGTTGCCTTAGAATGAGAACCAAATTTTTACAGCACCATCTTACTGTTCATAACACTCCCTCTGTAAACAAACTCAGGAAGAGTGGCAGTGGTAAGAAGAGTTTACTCTGAAAACAGAATGGAAACAAGAGTACAGTAGTAGCCAAATCTTAAGAAGTGAACAGCAGAAAAAATCTCTTTTTCCAACATCATTAACATCTTGAGCAATTGTTGATTGGAACAAGGCCCTTAAATCACCAACTGGTCCTGTTTTCAGCAGTTGGTTTTCCTTCCAAGACTGTCATGGCTCATTTAGATAGTATAGCACATTTTTTTTTCTAAAGGATGATTCTCAGGGATCTTGGAATTCAAAGTATAATGAGATACACTCATGTTAAAAAAAAATCTCTATAACGGAACTTGCTAGTCACATTTTTCAGAATTTGTTTTTCCTCGACCACATGGAACAAACAATGTATTAAATGGGGAGTATAAAGTATGTGGAATATTAAAACAAGCTGCACTAATCTCAGATGCTGAGAAAATTATGGACAATTTGAACTGGCAATTTCTCTTTGAAGCATTGGAAGATAAGGACTTTGATAATAATTTTATTCAAGGAATCAAGTAGTATATGTATCTCAAATGATGTTTAATGGTTCAATGAATTGACTAAACATTGTGATATCCAGAAGGGGACAAGACAAGGTTGTCCTTGGTCCCCTTTTCTGTTTATTTTGGTTCTTGAAATTTTGAATAGATATTAGACAAGATGAGAAGATAGTGGATCTAAAAATTAAAAATTAGACTTTGAATTTCAGAGTCTTTGTTGATGATTTGGATTTGATTTTACGAAAAAACATAGTTTTAAAGTCAAAAAAAGTTAAATATTTGGGTGTTATTTGACTAATTGGAATTGTATATTGTTTCAAAATAACTATGTTAAGGTATGGTATGAAGTTAAAAAAGATACATTGGGATGGGAAAAAATGCAATTGTCACTGAGATTTTTAAAGAAATCCCATTTGTTTCCCATTCTATCTTCTCCCCATATTATTTAATATCTATGTAAAACTAATGGAGTTTGACTTAAGGTTTGGAATGGGTGTTATCAGTATCCTGACTACCTTAAGGTTGACTCAGCCTTCCATCCTTCCGAGATTGGTAAAATGAGGACCCAGACTGTTAGGGGCAATATGCTGATGTTGTAAATCACTCAGAGAATGCTGGAGGGCATTGTAGAACAGTATACAAGTCTCCCAACTCTATTGTTCCTTACCAGCTAATTCCAAGGATGTGAACAGCATTCTTGACTAAAGCATTAAGTTTAAAAATAGTCTGTATGAAAGTGAACATGCAGAAATTAAATCCAGGCAAGAGAGATGCCATTGGTAAATAGGAATCTTGATAATGATATTTGAATGATCTAAAAATTAAGATTATTAGAAGTAAAAGGAAAGCATATAAAGTTGGTTTATTTGGTTAAAGTTAAAGCAAGATATCTTACTTCTGGAAATCCTTAATGGACCTTCTGCTGACCCAGAAGATGATTTATGGATTTGTTTATAGATGACAGTTGGGATATGGGATGAAGAAATAAACCGTTGTAATCTTAGAGGCAGTGAAGAGTTGCTAAATTTATTTATACTTATGATGGAAGTTGGAAGTCACTTCTTTATACATTTATTTTCTCTTTCATTGTATTCCTACTTTTTCCTTTCCTTTTTATTCTTTCCATTCTTTTTTCTTGTTATTATTATCATATCGTCAACACACACACACACTATTCTAATTTTGAATTTCAGATAAGGGCTAATTCAAATAATGCTATCTATGAATAAGAATGCGTGTGGTGCCAGGCGGGAAAAATATACTTCTACCAGGATAACCTCTATTTTTTATACATAACTCCACTTTTAAAAAGTTGTCATTACAATCGAAGACAACAGTTATTTAAGTAATTTTCTTTATCAATAACTTGAGGAGTTAACCAATCATTCTTAAAGGAGAAGTCAGAATGAAATATTAAGAGAAACAAAGACATACTTCATCTCTAGCACCTCCTCCAAATGCTTCCTCCGTTCAGCCCGCAAGTTGGTTAAATGGGTTTCCTTCTCAGCCAGAGACTGCTGAGTAGAGGACAGCTTTGCTTTCATAGATTCCAGTTCTTGTTTTACTTTCTCCATAGCCATCATCAACTCTTCTACCTAAGGAATTTAAGAATGATAAAGAGGAAGAAGAGAGAAAGTATGTGATTATGAAACAATATTTGCCATTCACCAGAGTTATAGCGTGATGGAACAAAAATATTGCAAATGGTCAATTTATCCCTGTTGAAATAACATGGTTAGTCTAAAATAACATATATTGATACTATTATAAATTACAGGCAGCACTTCTTTATTACACATATGTCTATTCAATATTGGGTTTTAATTTATAATCACTGATAATAAATCTTTTATGCCCTATCTTCATTAAAATGTAGAGAAAAGTTATATTACAAAATTTTAATTACAAAGCCAATATTTCTAATTTCAGCATCTCAACAAAACTGTACTAACACATTCTCAAATACATTAAAGTAATTCTCCTATCATATTCAGAATATTCGAATAGATCTTTCTCGCTCAGAGCAAAGATTTAGTTTATATGGAGTGAAGGTTGTTCTTTAACTAATTGAAAAGTTTTGTATTTGTGCTGGAACTCTATTCTGTTTTGCTTTTCTCTATGGTTTGATTAAAGGCAGTGGATGGAGCCATCTTATTTATCTATCAGCTCTTGAACCATCTCGGACCTCGCTGGACCATCAGATCTGATACAGTTCAAAATATATTGCAAGAAAAGTGTAGATTACTAAAGGAGAAAGATACCAGCACAAGTTAGTCTGAAGAAATCAGAAACAGGACAAAAAGACAACCCCTTCTTATCTAACTAAACCTAAAACCAATAAAAGAAAGGTAGATATGGAAGATGTTTTATGCAGAGGCAAATTTATTTGTCAAGGCTCTTCCTAGAGCCTGGATGATTTCAATAGGCTAGAACCACAGATACCCCTGAAGTCTTCCTTGTTAATGTCACATTGCAGACAGCAACGTGAAACAACAGTTCTGGTGAAATAACATCTCCTACTGGGAAAGGTAAAGATGGGATGAAATGAGAACCATTATTGTAGCACACTCAAGCAACGGCTCTCAAACAGTCTTGTTTGTCTATGCCAGAGATCCTCAAACTACAGGCCCATCGAAGCCATTAATCCAGCCCGCATGGGACCGCAAAGCTGACCGTCCCACATCACCCCACCTACCTACTGGCCCCCACCCACCTTCTGGAAGCTGAGACCAAAAACGGGATGCGCGAAGGCCTCGGGAGGCCAAAAACGGACCAAAAATGCATGCTACTAATTCATTCATTCATTCATTCATTGTTTAAAAGATTTGTATGCTCCCCATTTTAAAACACAACTATGGGTGGCTTACAACACCAGTAAAATGCTCAAACCATTAAACATATAACCGTAACATGGTTGACTTAAATTCTGCCCCCTCTGGCTTCCTGAAGTCCTCCAAATCTGCTCTAGAGGGATTTCTTTTTAAATAGACTTGAGGGGCAGTATCAGGGAAAAGGAAAGAAAGTATGAGCTCCACCTTCAAGAGATTTGCTCACATAGCAACAAATTTAGTTGAATATTTTTTTATTTTATTTAATCATATCCTATTCTGGAGATTGCCTTGGCAAAGTCCCTGCTGTTTTCTTGGCAAGATTTTTCAGAATTCAGATTTTGCCATTATCTCCTTCCTAGGTTTGAGAGAAAGTGACTGGTGCAAGGTCACCCCGTGTTGTGGTCCGCTGGCGGCCTGTGAGCTGGCAGCAGAGTCAGACAGTGAGGAGGCTGGGGAGGAACATGGGTCAGTCCTGGAGTCTGGGGAAGGCTCGGATGAGGGTTCTGCGTCAGAGGCAGAGATGGGGCCAGGGCCATCTGGGAGTTATGTGCAGACTCCGGAGCCTCCAGAGTCGGACATCAGCAAGGCAGAGGAACAGGGGGAGCCTGTTCCCAGTACGCGCATGCGCAAAGCTGCCAGAAGGCAAGAACAGTTAAAACAAAAGGGATGACTGGGGAGTAGGGCTTGGAGATGATTGGCCCCTCCCATAAGGCATAAAGGAGGAGCAAAGGCACATGAGCCTTTGCAGGAAGCAATGTTGTTTGGTCTGGCCGGTTTAAATTCTGCAGCTCCGTTTTGACTCTGTGTTCCGTGTGGTCTTGCAAAACTAATTGCCAATTAGGTCTTGGCAGCGTGTCAAGGGAGATAAAGGTGGGTGCTTATCAGCCTTATCCTGAAGGACTTTGGCAGACTTCTGTCGGACTCTTTACAACTATTTGTGACTCATCTGTGAATGAACAGAATGAGAATGAACAGGCTGTGAATGAACAGAATTCACAGCTGTTGAAATAAAAAGAGGGTTTTTGGGATTAATTGTGTGCTTTTTACTGTCTCAGGAAGCCTAGGTCAGAGCACCCCGCTGGCTTTGTGATCAGTTTCTAATCTGATGCCTTAAGCCCCATGCCAAATTGGTTTGTCTGTCTAATGATATATTTAGTTTAATAGTACCCAACATTTACTTAGTTCTATTGCAAAATATCCCAAGTCAGGATAAAGGATTCAGCTGAATAATTCACTCAACCCTTTCTAGCTCTATGACAATATTCAGTACAATCCCAACCCCCCCCCCAAATACAGCAATAGACTTATACACCACTTCATAATTTACAGCCCTCTCTAAGCAGTTTATAGAGTTAGCATATTGCCCCCAACAATCTGGGTCCTCATTTTACCCAACTCTGAAGGATGAAAGGCTGAGTCAACTTTGAGCCGTTGAGAATGGAACTATAATTATAACTATAATAGAATTGAAAATATAATCCATCCAAGTCAAATCTCTCTTCTTTAAAATGATTGGTGAAAATATTTCCCCATAAAATTGCTAAAAGTTCTGAGTGACTAAGATTTACAAACCTCAAAACCCAATGCTAAGTATTTGTTTTCTTTTCTGGCCATCCCCCAAACTTTAACATATACCGGTAGTAGACAAACCTCAGTTTCAGATTATGGCAATCATTCAACAACAAGAAGTAGAGCATGTTGAAATATTATCTCTCAGGCGATAAAGCATTTGTTAACAGCAGAAGTAGATGTTGTTTATGCATTGGTTTAAAAGGGAAACCACAGATATTGGGGCATTCAACAAACCCTGCAAAATACATTAATCTATAGGGCACCAAGTTACCAACACTTCATGGAAACAATGTAGAAATGAGATACTTTTAGCATAACTGACAAAGAAATTCCCAAACACTCTCTCCCATATGCTTAAGATTATGTAACATCTAATACAAGTCCTTCAGAATCATGTTATCTGGATATATTAAAAAATCCATGCTTCTTGATTTAAGATCCAAGTGTTGAAACTCTTTTAAATAAAAATGGACTACTAAAGACACAGAAATTGAGAATATTCTGAAATACTGTTATTATCAAATTATATTCCTTCGGATCTTCATAAAATATACTGTTACATGTTTAAGTTGTAATATCAGTTATGGGTTTTAAGGTCAATCATTTCCTGCTTCCAGATATGCAGCAGAAGTCACATGGACAGAACTAACAATGCAAATCCATAAATATCCAACGTTTTTTAAAGATAGACTAAGGCAGTGATGGCAAACCTTTTCGGCACCAAGTGCTGAAAATGGAGCGAGCGTGCGTGCGTGGATGTGGCACCGAGTGCTGAAAAGGGCCAACTGATCATCATGCACGCATGCGCACCAGAAACCCGGAAGAGGAACGGGCGATGCCGTGCGTGCCAGGCGACATGGCTCTGTGTGCCACTTCGGGCATGCCTCCCCTAGGTTCGCCATCACGGGACTAAGGACCCCTATGAAAAAAATATGCTAATCTGAAGTACAAATATCTGGAAAAGTTTAAGAAAGCTTTTTATTATGAAAATATTTTTGAGAGTGGAAGATGATGCTCATTTTCAATGTATGTTTCATTGTTTGGAAACAGATTGTTTGACTTGGCTACTGAAACTAATCTTTGGGGTCTACAGACTAAATGCGATATGTATTGCAACCTCAACAGATACATTTCCTAACTTCTTACAGTTTTATTTAAGAAGAGACATGCTATAATGGGCTTGGGAGACAGGAAGAAGAGCCTCAGCCAAGTCTGACAAGAGATAGCTCAGCTTGCAGAAGGAATGGTGGTGAAGAAAGCATCTCAGAAGGGACCTTCCCTAGTTCTCTGGAAAGAAAAGATAGGCGATGGGGACGTAAGTGCTTTCAGACTTCGAAGATCATATTACTGTAATCGTACAATCAAGGTAGTATTAATAGTACTCATGGTTTTGGTTTCTTTTCTGAACTACCTCAAAGAGCTCAGCAAGAGAAAATTTGATTCTCTGTGTGCAGAATGTATGCACTCAATGTGATCTTCCAAATAGCATAATATGGTGGCAAAACTATGGCATGAATCATGGGGGGAAAAATACCCTAAAATCTTTTCCTCACTGAAAAAAAAGAAACGAAACCATTCTTCAAATCTATCGACCTTCCCAGACATGAAGAGAAGAAATAGCAGTTGCAGCTTGTTAAGCAATAGAAAAAAGAAGAGATTAAAAAAAACTGCAAAAGACAATAAACTGGCACCAAATACTATAACCAATAAGAAGGTTTCTATCCCTCTCTGCATCTGGGCCTCTATTTAAATGAATCTGTCTGTTTAACTAAAGCAGATGCTTGATTTAACTCGTAACATTGAAACGTTTACTTAAATAAAAATAATTCCTCTATGCAAAGTCAGAAGCTTGATATGAAGGCAATAACTGGATTTATGGGTTTGTTGGTAAACTGAAAGGCTGTTGTAAAGCTTCAAAAAAATTTCTATTCTTAATTTGCACTAGTCCTTCAAAGTAAAACTCGATTTAGAGAACTAAATCAACTTAAAAATGTCAGTTAAAAAAAACAAAACACAACAGCCTAAAACACCAGGAACACCCCCCAAAAGCAGCAGAACACATCCCAAAACTACTGTATTTTTCAGAGTATAAGACGCACCTTAGTTTTTTGGGAGGAAAATAGAGGGGTGGGAATTCTGCCTACCAGGTATTCATCTGGCTAGTCCCAGCACATTAGTTTGCTTGCTGGTTTTGAGGTTGGAGCTGGTTGGGGCTGTGCTTCCAAAGCACAGCTGATTGTCGGAGGAAGCAGCAATTAGAAAAGCAGGCAAAACACGGAAGATCGCTTCGCTCGTGTTGGGGCTGAAAAACAGCTTCAAAAGCACAGCTGGTCCTCAGAGGGAGCTCCAGTGACTAAAGCAGGCGAAGCACAGAAGGGGTAAGAGAAGGCAGCAGCTGTTCCGGGTAGCCATTTTGGGCAACGCGCAGGGTTACAATTGGAGTATAAGACGCACCCAAATTTTCAGCCTCTTTTAGGAGGGAAAAAAGTGTGTCTTATACTCTGAAAAATACAGTAATTTCAGTCCCACTGCCTGCCTAATTTGTTGGAACACATCTCAAAAAAATATGAAGAATGCTCTAGACGTCTCTGTTCACTTCCTGTTCTTTACTGTGTTCTCCTCCAGAGAATTCACCCATGTCTGAGCCAGTAGACTCCTCTTTTGCATCAGATGATTAATTTACATATCAATGATAATTTGATAACACCGTTTGAGTTTATTCAGCGCTATAGTACACTGTGGACAGAGGAAACCATATGTAATAGATTAATCTATGGGAGTACTTTGGTTAGATAAACTTCGGGACAGAGTTATATCAGAAGATAATTTTAAAAAATATCTATGAACAAAATTTAGCTAGAACTGTGATGAAAAGGGCAACAGGATTTAAACACTGAAGAATGAAATAGCGAAGATAGGTTTGAAGACAATTTTTTAAATAGCTAATTTTACATTATGGCTTATTCAAAGTAAAATTGTTAGAAGAATCTTAAATATAAAAACTGGACTTTGATGCAAAACTCATGAAAAAGGTTGCAGTTGTTTATGTTATTCCTGATGTATTGTCAGCCATATCAATTTGAATGTGCCGTCAAGAGCTTTTTAAAGAAGCATAGCATGGAGAAGAGAAAGCTGAAGAGTTATAGAGTTGCTAAAGTCTTTTGCAGACAGGGTCTCCATTTTTCCAGAAATGCAAAGAAGATGAGCTCTCACGTCTTAGGGCTATATTTCAGCAGTGAAATCCACTTACCTTCGCTACTGATTCGGGAAAGGAAGCGCGCATGCCTGCCTCTTCTGCGCAAGTGCAGAGGGTAAAAAATGGGACGTAGTAACGTCCTGGCGGGTGGGCGGAGCCTCCCACTGCTGGCGCTACCGGTTCATGCGAGCCGGATAGATCCGGCCGGATTTCACCGCTGCTATATTTATAGGAAAGACTCCTAAAACTGAGTGCACATCAACATTCAGAAATATTATTTTGTGTCTCTTTTCTAGTCCTCTATGGGAAAAATTCTCATGTTTTAAAAAAAGAAAAAACAAATAAGGTACTGATGACAAATAATCATGTTTAAAGAAGATGTTTTTCAGGGGCTTTTGGGAAAGGTATGGCAAACTAAAGACGGCTCCACGAAAGCAGGACCAATGACTGCAGCAGAGACCAAGGAACCAGTGAGAAGATCAGTTTCTTGGAACTTCTCTAGATAAAAAGATGATGGGAGATCACTCACATGTGCTCTGGACAGCTGAGGACTTTGTGGGACAAAGGTTTTGGTAGGATTGAGCACGGAGAAAGGGTGGGATTAGTTTTTGAAGGACTTCTGCCCCAGCTATGGATCCCAGAGAATGCAGCACACACAAACTATGAACCAAACTCAATTTACTTCCAAATGTAGTTTTTTACAAATGCAGGCTGTTAACTAAAACGTTCTTAACAACCTGCCAGAAATTCCACAGAAAGATAAAGTCTTACGAGAGTTGGCAAAAAGCCCAGAAGCAAGGTTTGCAAAGAAAATCCAGATTCAATGATCATCGAGCGAACATGCGTTGTTTCCTGCAACTTTTACAAGCTGTGTGCAAACTTAAATAGGCTAAGGGAGTGGCCAATTAGCCCCAAGCCTTACTCTCGAGGAGACCTCCTGAGTAACCACTTCTGCCTTTTGGCAGCTCTGCGTGCCCGTGCATTGAGAAGAGGCTCCTCCACTTCATCCTCTGCACTTAAATGAGCCTCTGGAGGTTCTGAAGGCCCTGGCTGAATCCCTGCCTCCGGCACCACATCTTCTTCAGCCCCCTTGCTGTCCGACTCGAGCGCCGGCTGCACAGGCTGCTGGCGCAACACCACAACAGCCTCCTCGTCGTCAGAATCAGCAACAATCTGTGCAGGCCACTGGCGGGCCACAACATAAATATACACATACACACAGTATTGTGAGTAAAAATAGATAAATGGATACCATCTTGATGGGAAGACCTAGCTGCATTCGTATGTGTTGTATACATGCACATACTTTTTGCGTCTGTACACACAAATACACACACAGACCTGACTATATTACAGTGGTCATATCTAAGAACATTATAGTACAGCACCAATCCATGCCTATTTCATGTTGCACATTCAATACAAATGCCCATAGTATTGTTCTGAATTGTCTGTGCAGGCTGGGGACTGAAAATACTGTTTTGCAGAGGTTTCATTCCTTCTTGAAAAACATATCTGATTAGTATTACTGGGGAAGGAAAGGTCAAATCAACTCCTTATTTCAGGGTATTCATTCTCTTCTATCTTATTTAACAACTACATGAAATTACCGGGAGAAGTCATCTGTTGCTTTGGCTTCGTTAACATTAGCATGCTTCAGTAACATCAATATGCCAATGATTCCTAACTTTATATCATGTCTCCAGGCCAAAGAAGCAATGAGCAGGAAGTCCTGACCAGTGCTTGGAAACTGTGAGGGACTAGGTGAAATAAAATGGCTTTCATTAGTACAGAAACTCTCTAATTCCATGGAAATTCCATCAATAGTTCTTGATGGGGTTGAATTTCCCCAGAAAGAGCCAGTGGGTGATCAAGAGTATTTCTTGGACCTATGACTCTTGCTGGAGCAGCAGGTGAAAAACCTTCGGCAACACAAAGAGATACCTAATGGGGCTATTTTCAAAGATGACCAGAAAACTGCCGCTGGCCCAAGACACAGCTGCTAGCTAGGGAAATTGCTGACCTCATCCTCTCTGGATTACAGTTTCATTTCAGGGGTGGGGGGCTGGGGTCAAGATTAAAGCAAAAAAACTTCATTTCTTCTTTGAATACAATATTCTATTTATATGTGGAAAAATGCTCTTTGTGAGATTTATTTTGATAGCTGATAGCTATAGTTTTTGGAAAAAAAATTTCAAACGACTTTATGAAAGGGATCTGACCTCATAACCGTTCTTAACTTCTACTGTGTTCCTGGGTCTACTGTGGTTTTAGTCTTTACTGCAGCAAAGAGAAAAAGGTTCGGATTTTATCATTTTGAAACAATTGCCTGACGCTCTGTGTCTTCCTTTCTTCCTCCCCTCCCTCTCTGCTTCATTTGTCATGCTAGCTGTACCTGTCATATTTTTCACTTCATTTATTTGGCTCATTCCCTCTACCTTACAGTCTTAAACATTATTTGTGTGGTTCAGTTCAGGAGTAGTCAGGCAGCTTTTAAATATTTTGGACAATAACATCTCTAAACAAAGACAGTTAGCCATTTATAAAAGTTGCAGTCTAACAATGCTCAAGAACAATCTAGTAACACATTCTTAGAACAAGGTTGATTCTATCTGCTTCTTATGTAGTGAAATGTGATGGCATTACTGAGGCGGCTTATTTCGAGGCCTACAATTTATATATTTGGAAAAAATGATTATACATCGCATGGTTTAATGTATTTCCTTTACTTGTATTACCAATATTAACCTGAAATATCAATACCTGTGACCATAAGCATGCAAACCTGTTTTTCAGCTTGTGTCCTGGCTGATTCTTCTTGAGCTAATATCATTTCCCGTTCTGCAGTTATTTGTACACTCTCTCTCAGTGCTTCTTCTAGCTCCTCAATTCGATCATCCTTCTTATGCAAACTATCCTGGAAAATGATAGGACACCAGATGAAGTAGCTTCTAGAGCAAATAAGTCAAGTGCCAGGTCACCCACAAGGGAGTTTCCAGCAATGGAATTCCACAAAGTTAAGTTTTCATACAGAAGAAAATCACAGATGTAAGGTGAAGGAAGAGCTGGAGTAAATCCATAGCCAAGACAAAAGTTAGCAAACTGAGATGAGCAATAGCAGTGCAATTAGTGTTAAGACAGCTAGAGACTGGTGGGTAGTTTTTTTGTGCAAAAGCACATCTTCACATGCAATTCAGGTTAGTAGGCAGAAGATGTAGATGTACAGCAAGCATTACCCTTCCTTCACAGGTACCCTCAATCTAACAGTTCAAAAGTAAGAAATCAGAAGAAGCATGAGATGTAGTAAATGACGTAAGAAAAACTGTCTTAAAAAAACAATACTAAGATCTCTCAACCCCCTTTCATATAAAGATACCGGTAATTGATCTAACTGAAAAAAAATTAGGTGAAAATCTGAAGACAAAGGAATAAGATAAGTTGTATTTGAAAAAAAAACCTGTACTATATGACTAGAAACATAATCTTCTCAGAATAAAACACATGTTTACAGATCAAAATGCTACATTAAATATTCACTTAATGCCTGAAAATATAACCAACTAGAGATGATTAATCAAATCTTGAAAACTTGAAATGCATTGTAGCAAATGTTGGATCATTTTCTGTTTCTGAACTTGTATACAAGAAATAGTTGCCTTTCCTAGCTGTTATACCTTCCTTATGCTGTATGATTGTAATAAAGATTTGATTGATTTGCTGTTATGATAAAATGGCCATCTACCAAGTGCTTTGGATTCTGCCAATTATATGACAGGATAAATTCCATAACTGTAGAATCCTACACAGCATTGTAATTACCACAAATGGTATTTAATATCAGGGCCTGCTAGGCCTTTCTGAATGAAAGATACCTACAATATGTCCATAAGAGTGATATTGTTAGCTGTGTGAAATATACATGTTCAAAACATGGTATTAAGATAGGAAAACACAGCATGGAAAAGAGTGGAGCATAAAGCCTTGATTTTAATTAAAAGGAAATGGAAAATGATGGGATGTCAAATCTGAATTCTTGATCATTTTGCAAACTGAAGCCTGGTACCAGTTTCTAAACTCTATTAACAGCGAACAATAAAAATGTTATTACCTTTGAGAAACTAGCTGGCAAAAGTATACATATTAACACAAAACTGAATATAAAAAGATCCAAACATTAGAAGAAATGCATTCCTATATATAATTATTTGGTTCTTTTTTTTTAAATGGGAAACTAGTAAGAAAGTAGAATACAATGAAAAAAGTGAAACCGAAGTAGAAAGATTTGTTCGTTTCCTAGTTTCTACTAATGGATGTGTAATAGGAAAGACAAGAGCAGAATGCAACATGGATCTAACAGATAAAAAGTGTTCGTATCAGAATACTCTTATCAACAAAGATGATAAACTGAACGACCTTCATGGAGCAACTAGTAAGGCATCAAGAATACTAGTTCTTTTATGCTTTCTGCAGTTTTGTTAGACTACATTCTTATAAAGCTGCTAAAAGCCTTAGAATTATACTCAGTCAGTCTGTAAAAGACAGTCCTAGAAAATTATAGTATGCTGTTTGTTCTGACTACATAGACAGGAAAAATACTCATTAGGTTGTCTATCATATATCAGAATCCAGACTATCACATTCAGTATCGTCAGTTGTTATCTTCAGTTCTGCAAAGAATTGTTTGTCCAAGTACAATACATCTGAATAATTATGTAGAAACATGAGGAATAAAAAAAAGCAGAGCTGTGTAACAGATTTCCATGTACTCTGCATTGGTGGAAAGGAGCAATTGTTTTTGTAAATAAAATTAATTCAGTTAATTTCCACTTTCAAAAATGTGAAATATATAGAACGTTGGTAATTTTATCTCACATAAAATAGGTGGCCCTTAATATTATAATATAATCAGATGAACATTTAATTTGATGTTTAAATAAATTCTGTATATTACACATTCAGAAATATACACACAAAAACACCTACACTACTATTCAACAAATCCTCTGGAAAAATTAATGAAATGAAAGTGACAACTGTTGCTATCAGAAAACAATTAGCTACCAATAAATCATCACTTAAGAATCAGTCATATGTCTAGGTTATACATTAATCCCTTAAATTAGGTTTTTGGCGAAACGTTTGGATTTTTTGCCTAAAACCTTATCTTACTGAATTTGGCATGAGCCAGTCAGAAGTAAGCCTAGCTATAGGACAACCTATTTTGAGCTACTCTAAACTATTATTGCTGGAGTAGCAATCAGATCTACATTTTTGCCATGGAACACAACATCTATTATACATAAACTCATCTTTGTATATGTTTACAACAATATATAGCACCTGTAAATATTCTGTGATGAATGGGAGGAAATATACACTGAATAAGTATAAAAATGAAGGAATGTCAGGATGCTTAGAAAGATACTTCTGTAAGTCTGATAATATTTACTGAAGTTTGTGTATCTCTCAATATCTCAGCAGGCAATTCCTTTTGTTTTGCCATATGTTTAAATTTTATCTCCATTTCCAAACCGAGAAGGGCTCTAACATTAGCTCAGTTCAATGTTTTATTGTTGGCTGTTTCAGAAGATATACATAAAAAAAAAAATACTTCATTGTGCCAAGGAAATTTATGCTTCTCTTTTGATCAGAAGCAGTAGTTTTAGATTTAGTATTTTAGCATTACTACTATTTCTACTTCTAGTCTCAAAGTTTTACTTAAATTACTTTTTGTCACAATATTTTACTCTTTTACCAAAGAAGTCACCTGAAATGCTTTATATTTTTAACACTTTTGTTTGAATGCTTTTGTTTTATGCTGATTATTGACTAAAAACTGACTACTGCACAGTATAATCTGTGTGTGTGTGTGTGTGTGTGTGTGTGTGTGTGAGAGAGAGAGGAGAGAGAGAGAGAGAGAGAGAGAGAGAGAGAGAGAGAGAGAGAGAGAGAGAGGAGAGGAGAGAGAGAGAGAGAGAGAGAGGAGAGAGAGATTCAAATGCTAGAGCCAAATGATTTGTTCTTTTCAGAAGCTTAGAATATTATGAGGGCAAAGTTACATCTTTCAGTATAAAACAATCCTTCATTCAGAGTAAGTTTTAAAGCAAAGCAAAGCAGTTTAATTCAGATGATCATGCATTACATATATATGATATGATGTTACCTGTAACTGCTGGGAACTGTCATTAAGATTGTCTTCCCGCCTCCTTGCTTCTTCCAACATTTGTGCACTCTTTTTCTTCTCCACCTGTTCTTTATGCTTTAAATTTGCTACCTTCTTATTCTGATCTTTAATTTGTCTACAAATAGGAAATCAAATATTCAAACATGTGTGCGACCCACATACATTTGAAAATAGCAAGTACTGTAAGAGAATGTTCACACTCAATACAGATAACTTAAATAATACTTGACTCTCCAGTTTTAGAAATAACTAACCGTTCCTTCTAGAAGTAACCAAGTCTAATAATTTCTACCATTCTGTTTGATTATAAACCACATATGTGGAATTTGTCCTATAACGGAAAGCAATATGCTTCTTTTTTATTGCCATTTGAATGTACAAATTCTGGTCCCTGAAATGCAAACTTTGCAATTGTTTGCAATTCTATGAAGGTTTGAAATTTATCTTTTATAGATTTTGACCAAACAGCAGCCGTCCAGATCGTAATTCCAATGAATGCAAACAGATCACTCCTGCAATCTACGTGCATGCGCACATAACACATTATACAATTAATTCCTATTCAAGATTCCAAGCCAGATTTTTTTTTAATATGCAAAAAGACTATAATTTCCCTCATTATGATAAAACACTGAGAATTACTACAAAGCGACATTAATAATTTACTTGAAAACCACTGGTAATTTAATAAAAAGAAAATCCTACTTAGTTATCTTATTTTTTTAAAGGAAAAAAAGGAGTCCATGGTTCATTTGTACGGAACCTCTAAAATATACTTCAGAACTGATGCTAATTGGGAAAGCTTTCATTGAAGAAATCTGAATCCTGTCAACACTCCAAGCAAGGTAAAATTTTGTAGAAGAACTGGTTACTTATTACGGTAATATTATGATTTTTTTGAGTAGCCACTTATGAGTTCTCACAAATGGACTCTCTAGCTGTGCAGAACTCCATTTGGAACATTCCTAAGCTTAGGAATTTTGATGAACTTCCACATGCTTCAGGCACACTTTTTGCTAATCTTCCTAGCTGCCATCAAACTCTTTCACCAGTTGATTCTCATGAATGGGTGAATAGCGAACTGTCTAGGACTATGATGGCGAACCTATGGCATGCGTGCCGAAAGTGGCATGCAGAGCCATCTCTCCGGGCATGCCAACCGTTGCCTGTTGGTCTTCCGAGTTCCGGCACGCACATGCGTGCTGGCCAGCTGGTCTTTGTGCGTTTGGGAGCGCTGGAACCCAGAAGAGAAGCTCCCTGGCATGCTGAGCTTTTGGTTTCTGGTGTGCGCATGCCAGATGGTCTTTGCGTGTTAGAAACCAGAAGACCAGCATGCATGCACAGGCCGGAAACCGGAAGCTTAGCTTCCTGGCACGTGCATGCATGCCAGGGAACTGCTCTTCCGGTTTTCGGCGCTCCCCCCCCCCCGCGTGCACACACTCCCATTTCGGCACTCTGTGCAGAAAAGATTCACCAATACTGGTCTAGGAGATGGGTGAGTGACCACAAAGTATGGGAAGAAAAGATCCTTCTCCCAAATGCTACATCTTTCTGGACATCCACAGTGCTTGGATATTGTGACCAAGTACATGCTTAACAATTTTGGCAAAGATTGTACTGAAGGAAATCCAGAGGGTTGTCACAGCTGTGTCTAAACATCTCCCTCAATGTGAGTTGGGCACCGCTAATTTTCTAGATCATAGCAAATCCTTATGGTGGTTATAACTCTTTTAAGAACTGCTACAACGATAACTCTTGTCCCCAAAACAGGAACTGATCTCTCCCACAACTGGTAATTATTCAGCAAAAGGCCACTGCTCTAAAGGCATCAAGAGAGTGCAAATATTACTCCAAGCTATAGGATGTGTGTCTGTATGTGGGTGGAATGTCCTGGCTCAGATGAAAGAGAGACAGTCTGTGGTAGAAATGAGATTTCAGGAGGCAAAATTAGCTTGCCTTCATGCATGACATAGACTGTACATTGAATAATATGCTAGCTCAACTGGCCACCAAAATTAAAAAGGCAGTTTTCCAAGACAGCAAATGCTTGTGACCTTGTCTGAGGGCAATTCTTTAAATGAGGGTTAGGCAATGCCATCAAGCTTTCTCTATCTGGTTTAGCACCTCAACCAGAATTAGTCTCCACTACCAGAACTTTCTCTCCAGGAATCTGATCTACACTGCTAAGGTAGTGTGGTTTCAAAATTCACCATTTTGATGAGTTAAATGTGAGAATGCAGAGCGGCACTGAAACACTCACTTGTAAAGGAGGAGAACTTAAAAAATAAGGCAGCCTAAGATGCCTGGATGTCCTGGCCTCACAAGCAGCTCTTATCTGGGCTACAATCATATTAAAATTTTATAAGGTTTATCTTTAAACTGTGAATGCAATCCAAGTTTCATTCAAACAGAAAAAACCTTACTAGGAGGACAGCATCTAAAGAAGTGAGTAAGAGAAGAGAACCAGAAACAATCCGAGTCAAGTTTCAGAAAGGTTCTACAAACAGATTGGACCGTCAGAGGCCTTAATGAACCAGCAACTTCTCTACACTGCTTCTGAAGTACCAGGAGACTTTACACTCTTCTGAGTAATCCTGATCATGGTGTGCCTCCTTCAGCAGTAAATCCTAACAATTCCCGCCAGTTCCCACCATTTCTTGGTACAGCCAAACATTCTTATGCCTGTCCGTTTATGCTCTATTTTCAGATGCAATATTCTCAAGAATTGGGTGGAGGAGGCTCATGGTCTGGAAGGGCCCAGAGCAGGAGTGGTACAGCTGGTTGCTTTGCTGATGGGGCTTGCAGCACAAAAGTGATTACTGAAATGTGTCTTCCTAATCATCGTCCACATCTGAAGATCACACTTCTGACACTGGATAGCTTTGCAGCCAAATCAGGTTTAACAGGCATGGGAAATCTTGCAACCAGATAAAATTTGATGAATATCAACTGAGGAACGGTGGGAAATTACAGCTTTTAATGTAAAATTTTCTGCTTGAGAGTAGGTCATTATTGGAAACAATGTGTATTTTTTTCAGGCGTATACCATTTTTGCCTTTAACTGTCTGCTGGCCTGCTGGCTGCCTAACTGCCTGATCTATAGCACATTCAGAAAGTATTCCGACAGTAGTGGGATTCAGGTGGTTCAGGCTGGTTTGGGCGAACTGGTAGTTAAATTGGTGGCTGACCCCTCCCCTCCCCTTCCAGGAGTCCCCACACGCCCCATTTTGGTTCCTAGGTAAGTGCAGGGAGCCTCCCAGGCCCCAAACGGGCCACAGGGGGCATGCCTTCCCCCGCGACCCATTTTCGCTCCCAGAAGGCTTCAGGGAGGCCCCCTAGGTACAAAATGGGGCATGGCGTGTCCCCCTCCGCAGCCTGATTTTGCTCCCAGGGGGGTGAAGGCCGAGTGCTGCCTGTCGCACACCCCTGGCCACACCCACCAGGGCCACGCCCACCCAGTCGGTCATTAGGGCAGAGAACCTGTTGTTAAATTATTTGAATCCCACCACTGTATTCAGACTCTCTTCACTTTTGTCCATTTTGTTATGTGGCAGCCTGATTCTACAGTTGTTGAAATTCATTTCCTCAGTAATCTACATTCAGTACTCCATAATGATAAAGTGAAAACAGAATTTTAAAAATGCAGACCCACTAAGGAAATAGGGTGACTTTTGTGTTCTCAAGAGGAAAATCAATGATCTTATAATGGGGACACCAGACTGATAAGGAGGAACTGAGAAATTGCTTAGTTGTCTGCTCCCGGAGAACTGTTCTTAGGTGTAAAGTCTAATTAATCTGGCCTGTTTAGTGAACATCTGACAGTGCAGATGGCATTAAATACAGTATGCTAATCTCCAAGGTAGAATAGGTATTTTTTTTTATTTTAATTTTTTAAAAATCTTTCCTACCAGAGGGACAGAAATCACCTCAGAATACCGGCACTTGCATGAGGCGGTGCTTCAAGAATTTTGAAGGGTCCTCCCTGTGCATAATAAATATGCGAAATGAAAAAGAAAACTCTTTCCATGAAGTAAATACAGAAATGGATTAAAAAGCCGCATCAATAAAAGAAAATAATTTGAACATATTTGTCCAAGCATGGTGCTACTATTGAATAAGAATGAGAATAATTGGAGTTTTACTACATACTAGTAACATGAGTAGTGCATATGTTGCAGAGCATATATATTTCTTCTCACTCCTGAAAACCCACTTGTCTTACACTAAATCTCTGATGAAAAATTAAATGATTCTGCAGAATTTAATTATATTGAATTCTAGTAGTATTCAATTATAGGATGACTGCTAAGGTCAACAGTTGCATGTAATGCATTTTACTTTTAAAATGAATACTTGTGTTGATTTACTAATAGAGATGCTTTAAATTCTTTTAAAAATATGGCCATCACTTCAGAGAGCTTTAAGTTGAACTATAGAAGTTGTGCATCCCTTCACAATAGAAAAAGGAGAGCTTAAATATTGATCAAAGACAAGTTTAAAAAAAATCTATGCACTTGGGAGGTAGAACTTCTAATGACCTGTCAGGAAACAGCAATTTATTTTCTGTGTTGTGTATCCTTACAGAACAATAGGTTAAAAGGGGAAAGAGAAATGAATAGAAGTTCTTCATGAACAAAGCTCCTATACCACAAATTACAGAACTCTTTAATCTTCACAATCCATTAGCAGCTGCACTAAAAGGAGAGAGAGAGAGAGAGAGAGAGAGAGAGCGAGGGAAAGAGAAAGAAAAAAACTCCCTAAACCTAGACAGGGAAATAACTTAAATCTAAACATGTATTTGTGGAATCAAGTTCCAACATTATATTGTACTCTTTTGTGTTCTTCCAGCAAAGGAAAAAAATATTAAACCTGGATCCCAAATATATAATTCTTGGATTTCAGATGAGGATTTACATGATTGAAAGATCCTTTGGGCACACCGAAACAAGAAGTTACAGAAGTTACCTTCTTGTACTTTGTTTCAATTAAGGTTATAGAATTCCCAATTGAGGAAAATCTGATAAACTTTGAAAAGAGCAAATAAAATTAATCATAATAGGTCTCCATTAATCCCTACTGCCATCTGCAGAACCTTAATGGAGAAGATACCAAACA